ATATTTCAATATTAATTTATTTATAAATATAAACCGCGTGGACTGCACTCACATAATATATTTTTCGACTTTCTCATTCGCCTAAGCTTTTGTCTTCCACCACCTGTAACACTTTCGATCTTATCCTCCGAAATTCGATTTTTCGAATCCTCTCCCTTTTTTTCCCCCCTTTGACTAATAATTGATCATAATAACCCTTTTTCAATATGTATATACGTTATATGTATATATAATGCATTTTTTTTCTTCAACTTCTTCCTCTTTTTCTTCTTCATCTTCCTAATCGAAAATCGCAAAGTATCGAAATTTAACATCGCGGGTAAACTTGGTTTTTCTCAAAGGTTTCTCAATTTGTTTGCATCGAAACCAATAAGAAAATTCATTTTATATTCTTGCAATCAAATCTTTTCAATTCTTTTTAGAATTTCCAAAACGTCATTGTATTATCTTTTTATCTTTTATCTTTTACTGACTTTCACCTAATCATAATTGTATCATTCATATCATAATTTTGTAATAAATCATTTTAAAATGATCATAACCATTTTATTGGATTTTGGTCTGTTATTTTCTTACACGATCAATTTTTTCCAATCCATTTTACAATTTCACAAACGATACTGTATAATCTATTTTATCTTTTATTTTTTCCTGACTCTCCTTTTTTCACTTTCTCATAATTTTATCATTCATAATTTTTTAGTAAATCATTTTTAAAAAACCATAATCATTTTTATATTTGGCTGATCGGTTTCAGCTATCAATTCAATTCATACATCGTTCAATTAATTATTATGTTTTTCTTGCATGATTTTCACATACATGTTTATATAAATTTGAGGAAACCAACACAGTGTACCCGCGAAATATTCGATTAAGTCTTCTATACTTTATTTTATTTCTCCCGATTTTTCGATTTTTTATTAACCCACGTTCCCACTTTTCCTGTCCTTTATGGTCGTGTTGAAGTATTGCTAACGTTTGTAAGAATTGACTCGTTCCTTCCTTATTTTTTTTTTTGTCTTTTTTTAATCATTTTTTTCTTTTTATTCTTTTTTATTTATTTTTTTGATTTTACTTCGCATACCTCCCTTCCTTCCTTCATCCCTTCATCTTGCTGATAGCACAAGAAAGAAGTGCGCAACATTGACGCGCGCAAGAAAACAAATAAAGTATATATATTGGTTGGTTGGTGTAGCCGCCCTCCTTCACCACCGTTTTGTGATTCGTTCTTCATTTATTCATATTCGTTTATAATTTTGTTTCGTTCGACACGAAATTACCGTCTCAATTTTTTAAAAACATCTTTCGTGTTTTATTATTTTTTTATTTTGTTTAGTTTTTACCCTGTGTTTTCGAATAAGAATAATAATAATATTTGCGTTGGTAAATCATCGCACGAGTTTAAAATTTTATCTTCATCTTCATCTTCATCTTCATCTTGTCCATTTTGTTTTCAACCCTCGATGAAACAACAGCACACGCTCCTTTTTTTCGAGAGGTTCTTTCTTTTGTTTTCCCCTTCTCAATAATAATAATGATAATCATTTTCATCAAATAAAAATCGATATCGATGATGACGATGATTCATTCAGATGTAAGGGCAGAACTAATAACAAAAATACTAATGAAATTTAATTACAATTACGGAGGTTGTGATCGAAAGGTGTTGATAACCTATTCTCGGCATCAGTATGAATAGCGAATTTTTCTCAAAACCCAAAAAGAAGTCCCAAAATTTCAAATTTTTGATGTCCGATGACATTTTGACGCACTTTTTTTAAATAAAAGCTACAGAGATAACATTAAAATTCATCCCTCTTGAAAATACTTCTCTTCTTATTTGTTTTTTATTATTCTTCTTCTTCACCCTTCCCCCTCTCCCTCTCCCTCCCTTTTTCATTCTTTTATTTAATTCGTGTCTCACATTTGTGTCTTTCCTTTGATATAATCAGTATTTGACTTTTTTAAAGCAATTTATTTTATTACGGTTAATTTGCGATGCTAATAATGACGCGCGTGTGCGTAAACCACCCTCCATAAGAAACTTCGTGTCACAGTTTCCCCATACACACACACACACACACACACACACACACACATACACACACATACGTTCTCTCGTTCATTTTCTATTTTCTTGCTTAAGGGGTTAAACGATTTTATTATTTTTTTTCATTCATTTCACTCATACTTATACTCACTCTCACTCTCACTCTCTCTCTCTCTCTCTCTCTCTCTCTCTCTCTCTCTCTTGTATTCTTGTACTTCGTTTTATTTACTCTCACGTTAGTCTCACTCACGCGAAAAATTTGGTTTAAAGGGTAGATTATTTCGTCGTTAATTTTTTTTTATTTGTTATCCATTCTTATGGTGTCAAATAAATCAGCAAATCGGTATATTCATTCAAACGTCATTGACTATAATTGTTCTGTACATTGCGGACGACCGTTGTTAAATATTTGCATACTTATATACTTATACGAATATATACACAAATACATTCGCATTCGTATATAAGGTATGCATGAGCTTAATACATTTTATTAACGTATATTTTATTTTATTTTAATTAATTCTCTCTTTTCTTTTTTTCTTTTCTTTTTTTTTTCATGACAAAATCCCATTTTGTTCAATTAAAATTTCAATCGTTTGACGTTAATACATTTGTCTGGGACGTGCTTTGTTCTTTCTCACTGTGTATGTATGTATATATGTGTATGTGAGTGTATATCTGTGTCATGTATTATGGCCTGTTTTTTTTATTTGTTTAAATAAACGTCAATGTGCGTGCACACACGCTGACTAATTTTCACTATTATTCTCGTATTAATAGTTCATTCCTTTTTTATTTCAAAGTTCCTCGTGTGTTAATGTATGTATGTATGTATATAATATTTATATTTATATTTATATATTTATATTTATATATCGTTAAGATATTTAGATAATACAATAAATTCGCGTTAACATATACGAAAGTTTTAGTGCAATGTATAATAATTGATCGGTACGAGCGGAAAACGACCGGAATTTTGTTTATAGATTAATCCGATCATTGTTCGACGTTCGCTTGAGGCCAAAATTTCGACAGTAACGTATGGACCGGGCGCAGAGACGAGCGATACGTTACGATATCATTCACTTAACACCTTCTCTTTCATTCCCTTTCTCTTTCTCTCTTCGTATTCATTCATTCTAACCAGTTCTTTAACTTTCAACCCATTATTGGAAACACACACGCATGCATGTACACATAGCAGAGATGCATTTTATTTTATTATTTTTTTTTCTTTAAAATCTGAGAACGATCTCTTAAGAGAGCTTAAGAAGCTTCGATGTAATAAAACGCATAATAATAATAATAATTAATCTCTCTTGATGATCTCACAGCAATTTTGCTAATTAACTTTGAAAAATGCATCATCATCCTTTATGAGGACTAAGTTAGATGCATTTTGTCTCTCGATACGCTATTATAGCTCATATATTTTCCCACACATGCGTAAACGCACCTACCCCAATATACTGTGCACATACACATATATATATTTATATGTATGCATTTTTTTTATTTTTCTCTCACATCTTTTTACATTTCTTCAAGCTTTTATTCTTCATCTTGTGCATGTTGCACACTCGGGAAAAAAGGGAGGAGAGTCTCGACGACCCACACATACAACGACGACGACGAAGTTGGTTGGGGGAGGGGGTTGGGGGTGGAAAGAGAAGTGCCATTCCGCCATTGAAGCGACAAAGACCCCCTGTGTCGAGGAGGAGTTGCAAGCAGCCTCCTCGTAGACGATGGAAACAAAGGAAAAGAAGAGCGAAGACTCTTTCCCTCTCTCTCACACACACACTCTTTTTCTTTACTTGGTATCACCCTCAAAAAATTCTCCCTCCTGTGAAACCCCTTCCTCATTCTCTCTTTTTTCCTCTTCAGCGTTACTACTATAAACCCCGTTACTTTCTCACAGTCACCAATACTCCGTCGTATCAACCTAACAGGAACCATCTCTCTCACCACCTTCTCAACCGCCATCTTCATCGTCGTGATGTCGTCGGGTTCTTTCGACCGTACTCGAATTTTTTTTTCTCCGCCCTTCTTTGTTCAACCCTCACTCTCTCTCTTTTTCTCTCTCACGGATTTTCTTTCTTTCTCGTTCAACCTAAAACTCAACAGCTCAGAAAAGGAGGCTCTTTCCCAAGTGCGAAGAACGCAAGTTTCTTCTTTGTATGATCGAATACATATACATATATGTACATATATATGTGTATATATACATTTACCGTTGGTTACGTATGTTTATATGCGCATGTGTGGTATACGTGTTTCCTATGCGGGCTAACTGATGCATTTACATATGCATATGTATATTTATCGCGAACCACGGTTGTGCACCGCTGTTACCTTATTAAATGTTTTATTAATCACCATATTATTAATCATGTGTGTATGTGTGTCTTTCTGATTGAGCTTGAGTATCGTCTCTCTGGTGTTTTGTATGTGCGTGTGTGTTATATGTTTTCTTATCCATTTTCTTTCTCTCTTTCAGACACACTCACTCTCACTCTCTCTCTCTCTCTCTCTCTCTCTCTCTCTCTTTCTCTCTATCTGTGTGTGTTATATTTATTGTTATTATTATTATTATTATTATTATTATTATTATTATTATTATTATTATTATTATTATTATTAATATATTCTCGTACGTGTGAATTTTGTTTGTTGTTGTTGGTATAATCTCCACGTTTATCGTTCGCCTTAAATTCTAAGAATTCATACGTTATCGTCTAATAATTATATTAATTATTTATAATATATATATATATATATATATATATATATATATATATANTATATGTATATATATATTTATATAGTATTTATATATATTCTAGACTTAATTTGCTTAATTATTTAGCTTTTAATAATTATTAATGTAATTCTCATTATTATTATTATTTTATTATTATTATTTTATTATTATTATTATTATTATTATTATTATTATTATTATTATTATTATTATTATTATATTATTATTATTTTTTTGTATTTATTAATGTCGGTGAACGGGCTGGCGTCAATACGCAGTTTCGGCCACAGCTGCTAGCCTGTATGTGTTTTCGTACAACTCTTGTCATCTTTCATATATATTTCTCTCTCTTTCTTTCTCTTTTTCATATATTTTTTTTCTCTTGCACTAAGTTTTCCTCAATCTTTTGGTATCCCCATTTTTCTTGCTCGTACTCTCCCTTCGCGCATGTTGCCTGCTGCCTTCCTGTTTATCTTTTTTATTTAACTTCTTGATTTTCAACCACTTAGACGTTTATTTTTGTCACCGTCTCTCTCTCTCTCTCTTCTTCTTTCAATCGCATATCTCTTCATCCTTATTCGTGTGAGCTTTCTATTTCGATGTCGTTGTCCCCCTCCCCCACCCCCATATTTCAGGTTGAACTCTTCTTACCGCGAAGACGGTTGTTTTTTCTAATAATTTTTTTTTTATATTCAAGGGGAGGGGGTAGTTGTTGGTAGTAGTTGGTACCATTCGGCTGGTCATATTATTCGGAAGTCTCATCTAATTAGAAAGCATCCCTTTAGCTTCCTTTCTCACCTTATATGTTCAGTCCTCTGACGTAGTAGTAGTAGTAATAGTAGTAGTAGTCGTCCGTAGTAGTAGTAGTAGTAGTAGTAGTAGTAGTAGTCATAGTCGTAATTGTCGTTGTAGTCGTTAATAGTCGGTAAGTCACGCGTATTCCATTCTTTTTTATTTTTGTTATTTATATATGTGTTTGTGTATGTGTTTTTTTTCCATTTTTTTTCATTTTTTTTTATCATTTTTTTCTTTTTTCATTTTTTAATACTTGTCGAGAGATCGTCATCAACCGTGTGATCAGTTTTTATCCCAAGGCGTCTACTACAGTGCTCGTTGTGCTGTCACTCGACCGTGCTGCGCTCTGCCCTCTCGTCCATCCTAAAGATTGCAATGAAAAAAAAAAAAAATTATATTTTTTATTAAATTTTTTTTTTATTAAACTTTTTTGATTTAAAATTATTTTTTTCGAATTTTTTCGATCCTTCCATTAAATTACGTACAAGTATTGAGTTGTTCAGAAAGTAATTTCGTTTTTCTTTTATAAAAATGCAGATAATTTTTTCGTTTTGAGGTTAAATTTAACCTCTCACTGATCTTACGTGTTTTTATTTTTAAAATTACTTTCCGAACAATCCAATAAAATCAATTTTAAATAATTTAAATGTTTTTTTACTAGAATAAGGATATTTAATTAATAAAATTATTATTAATATTATTGAAACAATGTACCTGTTATTAGATCTTAACGAGGCTCAATGGTAGCCATTAGTGAATGCCGCTGGTATCAGAGGTCCCTGTAACAAGAAAATGCAATATCTTTGTTAGTATGATTACAAACTTAACATGAAATATAATATATTTATTAAATGGATATTAAATTGACTATTAAAAGGGACTTGACAGACAAAAGATAACACTATTATGTTTTTGGTGATTTGTTGTTAGTATAATTAGTTGGAAAGCTAATAATACTCACTCGTGCTTTCTTAAAATGAAAAAGTAAAGGATTAAAATTATTTGTGTGTGTTTTATTTATTGTTCATTTATTATATTGATTCAATTTTGTATGATTGCTCGCAAGTTACGATGATTAACTAATTATTGTTGTTGGTATACTTTCACGAAAAGAAATACTTAAGCTCGAGAATGATCAGGAATGTTACAGCTAGATAACAGGGATTCTTTTTCTATCCTTTTTTATGTTTATTTATTATTTAAAAAAAATCAGAAGTGTCTTAGATACTTTACTACCATAGAGAAACTGATATGAATTGAAATTTGGTTATTAAAAACCAAAAGACTCAAATTCAATTGCACTTTATTTCTGTGTAAAATAAAATGACATTAAAATTATAGTACTCGTGATGAATTAAAACTTATATTTTATGTAAAAAATTCCCTAGTGAGTTGTAAGAAATAAAAAGAAAATAAAACGTAGTTTCGTATAATATCAGTAAAATCAAAATAAATCGATTCGATAATATAATATTTCTATCGTACGAAGCGTAAAATCTAAATTCAACCGCATTCTCATTTTTCCGGTTGGAAGGATTTTACAAAAATTTATCTAGCTAAACTATTCGCCTATTCGAGCCGATTTGTTCGTAGAAGCGGAAAAAGATTCTCTATACAAAGAAGAATTTCCTTATCGCCATGTATTCGATCCCTAGAAAAAGAATCTTCCAGCTGATAATCCGAAAAGAATAGGGAAAAACACGAGAAAGAAATAACAAAATTTCGTATGTATTTATACATATATATACACAAACATATATATGCATATATCTTTCGTGATCCTTTTAAACTCGTTTTCGTGCTACATATATATATATCAATTTCATGCAACTTTTTGTTCTCATGCCAAAGAACTTTTTAACAAATACGTTGAATATATATGAAAGAGTTAGAATAACATTGATAGAGAGATCTGATAATAAATTCGATCGAGACACGAGATAAAATAAAATAAAGAAGAAGGGAAACTTCGATGATGGTAATTTAACCCTTTGAGATTGGTAAATTTTATCCGATGGGAATAATATCAGCTAGAGTCGATGCAAATTTAACTTTACGTATGTATTACTTCCTTAAGTGATTTTAAAACAAATATATTACGTATATTAAAAATTTGATTTAATTGTCATGGTGCATCTGAATTATAGATAGTAGATCAAAACATATGTATGATAGTTTAACAAATTTTTTATAATATAGTTGTACTATAGATATAGATTTAGATTTATCTACTATAAGTAATAGAATATACTACTCTACAACTATAAGAAAATATAATATATATATTAAATAATTTTATTTATATATTTCAGTGCTTATTAAATTCCTATTAAAAATAATGTATCTACTATAAAGTAATACAATACAAATATATTATAAAAATAACTTTAATATAATATATAAATTAATATATAATATATATATATATATATATATATATATATATATATATTTTGTTTTTTTTTGTAGATAATTTTATTAATATATTTCAGTGCTTATTAAATTCCAATTAAACAAAAACCCTATTTCACCCATGTATCTAAATACTTAGCCTTTTCCTCCTCCTTTCACAAAAACACGTACAATGTTGACTGAACAATGAATGACGTGGTGATGACTAACATGTTAAATACGTTAAAAAAGACTAAATCTTTTCAAGTTTTGTTTGTCGATTTAAAAAAAAAAAAAACTTACGGGGCTGTAGTTGAGCGGGGCGCGAGATACAGCGATCGCGGGAAACGCGGTCGTGGGTGGTTGCGGACTAGCTGCGGCCTGGACGTAGCTGGCAACTGCGGAATCCGCGGCTACTGCTGCTGCTGCGGCTGCTGCACTCGAACTGTACATGTCTATAGGGCCCGGCGAATTGGCAGCGGGAAATGATCGGCCTTGGGGTCCACCATGGCCACCTGCCGCATGCGGCGATGCTGGCGGAAATCCTGCTTGTGCTGCGGCCTGGTAGTTGTTCATCACTGCAATTTACGCATGTGTTTTTCAGACCATTTGCATCATTGTTTTTTGGTTCTTTTCTTCACCCCTCACTCACTCCTCCTCTCCCACTTATATTTTTTTACACGTTATTTTTTTTTTTATGTATGTGTGTTCTTTTTTAAAATTTTTTTTTCTTGCATATGCAATACCAGCAATAACGTAATCACGCTTGTTCGATTTCGTACAGTGGGGATTCGCAGTGGGAAAATCAAAACTGTTTGATTCGAATTCGCTCACGTATTCGAATGAAAACATAATCGATCTATCCCCACGGTTCTTTTATATTTTTTACCGTTTTTGTTCATTTTATACTTTTTCCAATTTATTTTCTACCAAATCCGAACTGTAAACTGTAAAAAATTACCCCCGTTACACGGTAAGACTTTGATTGCCAAGTGTCTGAGCAAGATGTGTTAATTTAATGTAAGTAAATATATAAATAATACTATAATATTATTTGAGATTGATATTTCTCGTGAAGTAAAAACGAATATACAATACTTTAAAAATGTATATCGTTGTTACGCGTTAAATTCGTGAAAATTTCGTTTACCCTCAAGGGATTGCAACTCAGTTTGCGCAATACTATGGGTATAGACAATCAGCGATGCGTGTAAACGGTCGACAAAGTTTCCCATAACGCGTTAGTGGATGTTACATCAAAGTAAAACCATGCTTTGAAGGAAAGAAAAAAGAAAGAGAGAAAGAGATATGGAAAAAGAAAGTATTTGCCTTTCTTCACTTTCGAGGTAAAAGAAAGGCAAAGTTTTCCTTTGGATGTACCAAAAGAGGTACGATGATGATGATAGGTGCATAACCTCGGTGCATTCACAAAACAAATAGTACGAAGAGAGAGACAAATAATAAAAAATAAAAGAAAAAAAGAGAAAAACAAAAAGAAAAATGGTAAAAAGAAAAAAGTGAGAAGTTGTAAAAGAAGACTATAGAGCAAACTATATAGAATACCTAATCTTTTAGGAAATGATGGTGTTTCGTTGCTTTGAAAACTTCTTTCGCGAAGAAAAGGGGTTGGTAGGGGTGGTAGTAGGGGTGGCGGCGGTAACGATACGATTTAAAGCAGCAAGAAATAAAACAGAATCACGAACTCATTCAAGATTTCATAAGAAAAAAAGCTAAACTTTTCACTGGGTGGTAGAGGGTAGAAAGGAAAGTCGTTTTTCTTTTCTTCGACTCTCCGCCAAATACGAACAAAGAATAAGAAGAAGAACGTAGGAAAGAAAAAGAAATGAAAAAGTATGAAAGGGTCGAAGATCGAATATCGACGATAAACGTTATCGTTCGAGTACCAACTACTTCTACGTCCCACGAAACGTGGTAGAAGAAGAAACACGCTAGGTCTTAAACGTTTTCGCAATGATACCAATACTTTTTGGATTTACGGATGCAGACAGTAGATAAAAAAAAGTAAAGATGGAGAAAAAAAAGGTTAGGATGAAATAAAAAGAAAGAAAAATGGGGGTGAAGAGGGTGGTAGATAGAAAGTGGAAGTCGAGAGAGGGCTACGCGAAGAATTCGAAACTTGTGAACGATAGAGAAAGAGAAATGGAAAGAGAAGAAAGAAAAGTATGAGGTTGTGGTAAAAAGAAAGAGGAAACCAGAAGAGTATGACAAACCGAAAGTGCGCGCTGGGCGCACAATCTAAAAACCCATTCAGCTTTTAAACTCTTGACAATAGCGGCCGGTTACAAAGTTTTCTCTCTGGGAGCAGGGACGATGGTAGGCGAATGCGAAATGGCTTGAGAGGAGAGAGAAAACGGGGAAAGAGAGACGCGATTCAAAAGTTTGATTTATTTGAGAGGAGATTGCGGACGGCACGACGACGACGACGACGACGACGACGATGGTGCTGGTGATGGTGATGGTTGGTGGTGGTAGGCGGTGGCTCTGCTCGGCCTCGGATTTCAGAGAGGGCTGGTTGTGGATAGAAGGAAAGAGAAGATCCAACGAAGGAGAAGAAAAAAGGTGGGGGTTGGAGGAAGTGGAATAAAAAAAAATAAAAAAAATAAAAGAAGAAGAGGAATGAAGAAGAAGAAGAAGAAGAAGAAGAAGAAGAAGAAGAAGAAGAAGAAGAAGAAGAAGAAGAAGAAGAAGAAGCTGGCGTATTTCGCTGCTGGCATCACGGAACACACCCCCTACCCCACACATGTGTGACTCCGTTTTCCTTCTTTTCCACCTCTTTCTCATCCTCCTTTTTCTTCTTACTTTTTTCTCTTGCTTCTACTCCCCTTTCCCTTCTCCTATTCTCTATCGTAACTCCACCGATGTGGAGGAGACTTTTAAAGATGATGAATCGTGCAAGGACACGGGATATTCGATAAGATTTAACGTACAAATTAAAATCTTATTATATTATGAGGACAGAAAAGTAATCAAAATTTTTCTTTGCTAGTGAAAAAAATATTTGTTTATTAAAGAAATTTTAAATGGTAATCAAGGAAAAATTTGTTCATCATTTTCTAATATGTTTTGCTTTATGGAAAGGAAATTGGTTCAATTAATTTTTTCAAAAGTCCTTCGATTTTTTATTGGGAAAAACTAAATGTGTTTGTATTGATCGAAGAAATTTTTTATATAATATGATATAATTATATAATATTTATAATATACTATATTATAATATAATATATAGAATATATTATAATATATTTATTTATAATATAATTATTACAATATTTATAAATTAATTATTATATTATTATTATATTAATATAATTATTATAATATTTCAATTAATTATATTAAAATTATATTATTATATTATATTAATACAATTTTTATGACAAAGATAAAACTTTATCATTTGTCACGTATTATCGTACAAAATTTTTGTGAATACGAATTAAAAAAGAAAAAATAATAAAATGTAAGAAACCACCTATAGATGAGAGAAAAATTAGAGAAAGAGAAAGAGAGAGAAAGAGAGAGAGAGAGAGAGAGAGAGAGAGAGAGAGCGGAAAAAGCTTACGATCAAAAAAGCATTAAAAGATAGAATAGAAGGAAAAGTTATAAACGTACCAGAAAGAGCTTGCGTGAGCAAGGGCGTGTTGTTGTTGGGGGTGAGCTGTCCGTTGGTAAGATCCACTGAAACATAAAACTCTGATCACAACTGTTCCGTACCTTGAAGAAACTCGTTAGAGAGTAAGAGAAGAAATGCTTCGTTATATTTTTCTTCTCTTTTTTATTTTTTTGTTTTTTTATTTCTTTCTTCACCTCGAGTTCTCTTTTTATTATATTCATTACCGACTCTCGCCGGCGTTTTTTTTTGTTATTATTTTCTTCCTACTTTCTTATTTATTTTTTTGTCCTTTTGTTTCGCGTTTTAATTTGTTGATTCGTTTCCTTTTTTAAAAAAAAATAATAATAATAAAAAAAAGTATAAACTACGCTGCGCATACGATGGAACTCGAAATTCGCGGATGAAAGAGTAAAAAAATAGGAAATACACAGAGAAACGGGGGGATAAAAAAAAAGATACGAAGATGTCTATAGATGGTGTTTTCCGGTGTGTCGCTTCGTCAACAACGGAAAAGATAACAATAAAGAAATAGAGTATAATCGACTTCTCTTGCTAGAAATGAATTTCAAAGGGAAGAAGGATGACAATTTAGTAAAAGGATTTTTTTTAATATCATATCGAATGATAGATATATATACATACTTTCTGTATAAAACTTTTCCAAACAAAAAAAAAGAAAATAATTGCAAAGATATTTCAGGTGCAATTCGACGGGGGCCAATAGTAACCACGAGTAGAAAGCACACGAGTGAAATGAAAGATAGATGGATAGTAATAGGGCAGGAAACTTGGGGGTGGGGTTGGGGGAGGCTAGTTGTAAAAGGACTAGAGAAAGAGAAGAACAGTTTTCGTATTTTGAGCATCCCGAATGGTCCGCGGAATATTCGTTGAAGCATAATAAACCTATGGATATCGATCGAGTGTGTTCACCAGGCAAACCACGGTCGCCAGCCACTGCCACTGCTACCATTGCCGCCGCCGTATTATTCCCTCGAGTAGCAGCACTCGGTTGCATCGAAATGTACTCCGTCGCTAATATGCATTTTCCGCGAGGGACCGGAGGAGAAGGTAGGAAATGTATGAATCGCGATGAACGATGCTGCGAACCGTGAAAGATTTTCAAGAGGTGGAGAATCGATGAGCAAGTACACAACAATCGGTGGAACACACGCGAACTATAGACTACTACTATTAATACTACTACTATCTACTACTACTACTATTACGTCTTTCTCTCTCTGTATTATAGGTGGAAGTTTGATGGAGCATGGTCGCATAGATGATTAAGAGAAAGAGATGATGATGATGATCACGATGATGATGATGATGATGATGATGATGATGATGATGATGATGATGATGATGATGATGAGAGATGGAGAATAATAAAAAAGTATAAGAGTAACAGCTTGTGTATACACTTCATGTGTTTACCTATATCTCTCTATATAAATATGTTTGTGCATGAATATATGTTATGATACTATATTTATATATGTATATTTTGATGTATAATATGTATCTATATATATATGTATGTATAGAAAAAATTATTGTCAAAGTGCGTCTATCAATCGAAATGGATATTTTTCGACATCATACATTTCTTCCGTAGTGCAGTCCGTTGTACGTGTTGCATTGGTGTCTCCGTAAATGCGCGGCCTGCATTCTCACTTCCGGATCCGTAGTAGTACACCGTCGGCACTCCTAACATTAATAAAGAATAAAGAAGAGAGCTGATAATCTGATATGTGATTAAAATTAAGAAACGTGATGATTACGACGGTGACGAATTGATTTTGATTTAAGGGGTGGAATACATTAATTGGACGACGTTGGAATACTAGGAAGAATATAATTAATAATATAATAAAACTTTATATTATATTAATAAATTATATAAAATATTATTACATATAATATATATTAAATATTAAATTATAATAAATATTAATATAAATAGAATATATTTGACGTTGGAATACTATGAAGAATATCACACGTTAATATAATAATATATAATAAATATTAATATAATTATATTAATAAATTATATAAAATATTATTATATTGAATATTAAATTAACATAAATATTATTATTATTATAATATAAATTTATTAATATATATAGTAATAAAAAATATATTAATAAATATAATATATAAATATATTTATTTATTAAATAATATTTATTTAAAACATATTAATAAATAATATATATATATATATATATATTTGATAATGAATGTGAATTGAAATTGTCAATGTAATAAAACTAAACGAAACTTAGTAATATTCGATAAAAAAAACTTTTCATTGGCTTAAATGTGACTAGAAAATTGTATAAAATCTTTTTCGATTTATCGAATGGTATCGAACATTGTAACTTTTGAAAATCTTTAATATAGTTCCAACGTCGTACGTTTCAATGATTCCACGAGTTTTTACGTTCTTACTCGATTACTCRATAAAAGAAACTTTTTTTTTTTTATCGCGATGAATTTTATTCACGTTAACTTAAAGGAAAAATAAATTACGCGATTTATATAGGAATGGATATATGTGGGACACATCAGAAAGATCTGGAAAATTTTTAACGATCGATAAAAGCGAATTGTATGTATGTATATATAGATATATAATTATATAGATTTTCAAGCTTCCCCTTTCAAACAAGCGCGAAATCAATGGCACAAGCAATTTTTGTGTGATGCGTTAATGGATTTGTTCAATAATCAAAATATTTTTTTAATTAAGAATACGTGAAAGAATCAAACATAAAAAAAATATATAT